GGGGGGGGGGTGAAGACTACATTTTTTTGGTACTAAACTTTAAAAGAAATTTCTCCTCTGGTGCATGGTAGAGGGCATAGAAAGGACAATGTCTCGATACCAGTTTGGGGATCAAATTGTAATTTTTTTCAAAAAGAAATTCACGTGGCTAGTTCTTATGACTGAGGACAGGAGTTAGATGTCCTGACACTGATGTTTAGCCCAGAGATGCTGATTCAGCACGGGCATTTGATCACTTCTCGAAAGCATCCTGGATTAAGCTCAGACTGGTGAGAACCTTTGGATGCAGAAGCTATTTTCTAGTGTATTAGTCATTCTTTTGTATCTTTGTGTGAAAATGTAAACACATCAACGCTGTCATCGATCCAATCATTCTGACTTTTTTTTTTATTTTTTTATTTTTTTTTTTCAACGTTTATTCATTTTTGGGACAGAGAGAGAGAATGAACGGGCGAGGGGCAGAGAGAGAGGGAGACACAGAATCGGAAACAGGCTCCAGGCTCTGAGCCATCAGCCCAGAGCCCGACGCGGGGCTCGAACTCACGGACCGCGAGATCGTGACCTGGCTGAAGTCGGACGCTTAACCGACTGCGCCACCCAGGCGCCCCTCATTCTGACTTTTAAAAAATTTTTTAGTGTTTATTTATTTTTGAGTTGGGGGTGGAGTGGGGGCAGAGCACAAGCAGGGGAAGGGGAGAGAGAGAGAGAGAGAGAGAGAGGGAGACACAGAATCTGAAGCAGGCTCCAGGCTCCGTGTTGTCTGCACAGAGTCTGACACGGGGCTCGAACTCACAAGCCGTGAGATCATGACCTGAGCTGAAGTCGGAGGCTTAACCCACTGAGCCACCCAGGGGCCCCTAAAGCTTTTATTTTTAAGTAATCTCTACACCCAATATGGGGCTCGAACTCAGGACCCGGAGATCAAGAATCGCACACTCTGCCGACTGGGCCACCCAGATGCCCCCAGTCATTCTGAGTTTTAAGGGGATGCAGTGCTGTGTGACTCCTATGCCATGCCACTCGACAACTTAACCTCTATGCCTACACTAAGGATTAAGGGGGACTTGGGGACATGGTCATTCAGACATGAATCCACTTGAGTTCGCCCTCTTCAATCTGTTTGTCTGTTTATACCCTGTCTCTTTCCACAATTTGGTCGATGCAGCATGTAGAAGATGCATATTATAAAATGGGTAAATTATAAATTAAAAATCAGGACAAAGAAAACAGATCGAATACGGAGCCGAGCCCAGGGTGCGTATAGGGTGAGGTTGGCCAGAATGAAGATATGATGGCAATAAAGTCCTACCATTGCCACCAATTGGCTGCACATTTGCTTTGGGCTTCCTGGAAGAGAGGAAGCAAAGTCCGCTTTTTCCCCTCTGGTCCACAAATGTTGGGCTGAAACACAACGACACCATGTCTACCTCTCTCTTGATCTGTAGCCATTACCTCCGCTGAAAACTAAGGACTGATATAATTTGCTCTTTGTGACGCAAGAGTAGCCACCAGTGACCTCTGCTTCTGGTTCTAAGAGCTCTTGGGGCATCTGTGCACCTGCTCTGTGCTGCTTCTCTGTTCTCATCTCTATCCCAGGCTCCCACTCCCCGCCCCAAGTTTGTCTCCTTCATAACTTCAGCTCACCTGTAGCTTTCTGTCTGCCATGGGCCTGATTCTACCGTGGGGCTTCTCTTCAGATTTGGCCATGTCTACTAGCTGGCTCCCATGGCCATTTCCAAGAGTGAAAATCTGGTTTCCCAGGTAATCATCTTATATCTGGCCATGTTACAGGTGGTTGGGCAGTCTATTGACTCGTGGCCTAGGTCAGGTACTCCAGGGTCGTTGGTCAGTGACCCATGGGTCAGATAACAGGGTCCAAAATACCAGCCAGGGATGGGGTGGGGGTGTGGAAGGAGCTGTGGGTGAAACCATTTTCCCTGCAGTGAGGATTAAGTACGACAAACAATCCAAGACTTCATCTACTCATCTGGGAGACGGATTGAACACAAGCATGGAAACACGGGTCGCCCTCTTAGCTCTGTTGCATCAGTTTATGAAATAAAGACTTTTGTCTTTATGAAAAATCTTTTCTTCCGAGTTGCTAATGTCATTCTCTTTGGAAGTGCGTTAAAGGCACTGCAGTAAACAATCCTTGAAAAATACATCGGGCAGATGGATTTCTGAACGTGTGTCACTATCATCCCTTCCTTGCTATTTTCAAAAAAGTCATGTTGATTTCCAGTTTGTGGAACACGTCTTTTTAGACCCTTGCTACCAGATGGGGGGCATGAACTGGAAGCCTGTTAGAAATGCAGAACTTCAACTTCACAGGAACCTACTGAATAAGAATCTACATTTAAACAAGATCCCCAGAAGACTGGCGTGTGCGTTGACATCTAAGAAGCACCTTGTAGAGCAAGATTTGGGAAGCGCTGAACGGACTCTGACTAGGAATTGAGGCTTGGAGAGATCATGTGCCTTGCCGGAAGTCCCCCAACGAGTCAGGAATAGATTTGTGATCAGAATACAGGTCCTGAGCTCTGGTCATATTCTCTTTCTGATGCCCCATGATGTCTCCCGCAGCTAGGAAATGAGGTGGCTTGATGAGATTATTGTTAGAGGAGTAAATTACCATGTGGTTAGGGTGACCATGTATTTTATCATCCAAACGTGGTCACTTTGAGGCCTCAAGAGGAACTATTTCAGGACAAGAGATGCCAAGTGACACAGGTGGTCATTCTATATACGTAATGGTTTTTTTCTAGTTTACTGAGCCCGCTCATGTCTGTTAACTAACCTAAACAACATACATATCCATAAACTAGATGACCTTAAAGTTCTAACTTTTCTTTTTTTTTTTTTAATTTTTTTTTTCAACGTTTATCTATTTTTGGGACAGAGAGAGACAGAGCATGAACGGGGGAGGGGCAGAGAGAGAGGAAGACACAGAATCGGAAACAGGCTCCAGGCTCCGAGCCATCAGCCCAGAGCCTGACGCGGGGCTCGAACTCACGGACCGCGAGATCGTGACCTGGCTGAAGTCGGACGCTTAACCGACTGCGCCACCCAGGCGCCCCAAGTTCTAACTTTTCAATAAAACCTGGTTGTCAAGTAAACACACACACACACACACACACACAATCTCACTATAATAGACAAATCATGATATAAACCGATCAAGAAAAAAAGGAGCCCAAAGCGACAGGAGAAACCGTCACAGACATACACATATTTAAAATGATTCTGAAATCACTTCGCTTAACCCATTCCAATAAACTTGAAAACCTGGATAAAATGAGTGCTTTCCCTGCCGTTTGCCGGTGCAGTCCCGCCGGTGCAGTGGCCTCGCTGGGCCCGGGAGCCGTAGCTCATGGCCTTTTGTCAAGTCATGTCCCCGTGAGTCAACCAGACTTGAGAATTTGGTCTCTGAAAGCGTTTGTTTTCCAGCGCTCCAAGTCAGAGCTCAGATATGTGAGCAGCTTGGGAGGAACTTGGTTCTTCCACCAGGATGAGAAGCACATTATCTGAAGAGGTGTTTGCCGAGTGCCTTCTGGCTAACGCCCTCCTCCCGGCTTCCGACACCAGATTAATCTGCCACGCTTCGGCTGCCTAGCTCTAGAAATGAAACACGGGCATGTCCTTGGTCCTAAGAATCCCGAGTCTTAGACCTGGAAGGTGTCATCCTGTCAGAGTTTGGTTAGTTCTAGACCCCTCCCTTCACAGATGAAGAAATTGAGAGCAAGAGGAAGGGAGTAACGGTCAAACTCGAGCCTATTTTCATTTCAAGTTTTGTGTTTTCTGTTACACTATCTCTAATGACACTAATGTTAATAGTAGTAACACCTGACATCGATTCATTCGTTTACTTCGTTATCTCCCCTTAACAATCCTGTGAGGGAGGCAGTCATTGCACCATCCCCATTTTACAGAAACTGAAACACAGAGGGGTCAAGTAACTTGCCCAAAGACACACAGCTAGTTAGTAAATATCAGAGTTGAGATTTGACCCCAAGTAATCTGGTTCCAGAGTCTGTATATACTTTTTACTTCCATTTACTACTACAAGAGTTCTCACATTATTCTGAGATGATATATATATCCCTGACTATATATATAAGGGAGACAC